TTCCATTTTCTGACTCTTCAATTTCTTTTTTCAGAATACTGTAATTTTCACTGAATAGATCTTTTACTTCATTAGATTGACTCCTAAGTATTTTATTTTTTTGGATGCTGTTGTGAAGGATGTGACATATTTCTCTCTCAGTGAGTTTTTTGCTTGTGTACAGGAATGCTATTGATTTTTGAATGTTAATTTTGTATCCAGCTATATTACTGAATTTAGTTGGTATACCTAGAAGGCTTTCAGTGGGTTTTGGAGGTCTTCTATGCAGAGTAGCATGTCATTTGCAAATGATAGTTTAACTTCTTCCTTTCCTATCCTTATTCCTTTTATTTCTCTCTCTTGTCTAATTGCTCTGGCTAGTATTTCCAATACTATATTGAATAGGACTGGTGACAGTAGCCATTGTTGTCTTGTTCCTTTTTGGAGTAAAAGCTTTCAGTTTTGGACCATTTAATATGATGCTGGCTGTTGGTTTGTCATAGATGGCTTTTATCAGATGGAGGTAAAGACCATCTGTTCCAATTTTCTGTAGGATTCTTACCAATGAGTGTTGCACTTAATCAAAAACTTTCTTTGCATCTATTGAAATCATCATGAGAGTCTTATCTATGGCTCTATTGATATGGTGGATTACATTTATTGATTTGCATATGTTGAACCACTCTTGCACTACTGGGAAAAATCCCACTTAGTTGTGGAAAATAATCTTCTGATGATTTGCTACATTCTGTTTACCAGTATTATTGAGATATATTTGAGATTTTACATCATGCACTTTTAAGACAACAGCTAAATAAAACGTTTTTTCCAGAACAGTGACACTTTATTATACATCCCAACTTTAGGCTACTGATTAGATGCTTTAATTTTAAGATACAATATATCCTCTTATAAACTGGATAAACTAATAGTCAACTTGAAATGCCAGCTGATTGGTGCCAACAGCACAAAAGCAGAACTGGAGAGGAACATGGTGCACTACTGATCCTCCTGGAGAAGCTTGCCTCATTGGTATCTGAGATGAACTCAGCTGTCCTCATCAGAGGAGGAGGTCGTATCCTTGCTGTTGCTGAGAATGACTGCGGTTCTCTTTGGGGGAGCTCTGCTCTTCACTTTGAGTATCACTTCCTGGCTCCAGCACCGGTCCCTCAGCCTGCTGGCACAGATCCTTCATCCCACTGGCATGGTCTTTCCAGCTTCCACCACTGACCTTTGGGCCTTCCCAGCGTAGATCCTTGATACAGACTTGCATGAGTCATTGTCATGGCCTGTAGGCCTCCAGCTGGACTCATGGAGGACACTGCTATGGGTCCAGGCCCTTAGCTGAATTCGTTGGGTGTTTAATGCACAAACAGATCTCTCTCACCTTTTTGCATTTAACTCTTTGGGGGAATATTACAAAATAATCATATAAATTATGTGTACTGTATTAAATTTGTTCCTTTGTAAACCCTGACTACAACATAATTTGTTGGGATAACAAACTCTAATTGTGGGAGACAACTCTAGTGTCTCCCTTTGAACGCAAAGCAATTGTTGCAACATTGATTGAGACTTATTTTTTTATATTGATATGTAGAGAGCTGGCTATGATTTTTTTCCCTTTAATTGGCTATAAGCATTACAAATAAGGCTAACCCAGATGCTGGTGTCATCTCTTAAAGCTAACAGACAGTATCCTGTCTCTCCTCCTCCTTCCCCCACAGTGTTATCCAAAAAGGATATGAGCACAGCGGGATGTTAGAGCCATCAGCTCCAAGAATGTCAACTGGGTAGGAGCCTCAAGGTAAAGGGGTTATGACTCCCCCGGGCACAAATTTTATATATCAAAAACCAAAGCAACAGCCTCCCAAAACAATTTAATTGCTACCTTAATTGAATTATGTGAATTGATCCTTTTGTATAACTTTATCTCTGCAATTTGCAGAGATGCTTTTTTTTCTATCTGGCTAGCCAGCTCAAGTTACTCACATAATTTACAATACAAGACATGGAAATCATGTCAAGTATCTTTGGGTGCACTGCAGTACCTGGCACAGTGTCTTGTATATCAAAAGAATACATACATTTGCTGTATTAAATCACATTTATAAGGAGTTCAGACTATGATTTCTAAAGATTTTTGAGTAATTTTTCTAAATGCGTATCATTTCCAGAAATGTTTTCAATTCCCTCCCATCTCTTCAACTCCTCTTCCCTCCTCATTTACAAATATTTGTTTCATTTTATCTTTCTTTTATTCTTTTTCCCTTCCTTCCTTTCCCCCTCACCTCTCCCTTGTCTCTCTCCTCTTGTGTTTCCTTTAACAATTTATTCCTATTTCACAATACCTATTATACATGTTGATCGTTATTTGCCCTGTCAGTTTCTCACTCAAAGAAACAAAATGGTATTTACATATGTGTGTCTGATTTATTTCACTTAAAAGTATGGTCTCCAGGTACATCACTGGGATCTTATTCTATTAAACAGCTTTTGCACAGCAAAACAAATTACTAATAAAAAAAAGACAACCCGCAGAGTGGGAAAAAATTTTAACCAACCATCCCTCAGACAAAGGAGTTATATCTGGAACATATAAAGTATCAAAAAAAATCAGAGCCCCAAATATAAAAACCCAATCCATAAATGGGCATTTGCTGAGTACACATTTCTCAGGTGAAGAAATATATAGCAAATAAACATATCAAAATATTCAACAACTACTAGTCATTTGAGAGATGCAAATTTAAAAAAAATACTGAGATTCCATCTCATTCCAGAAGATTGGTAACAATCAAGATATCAACTAATAACAAATTCTGGCAGAGTAGTAGGAGAAAAGGAACCCTTCTCTACTGTTGGTGGGAGTGTAGACTGATGCAACCACTGTGGAAATCAGTGTGGAGATTCCTCAAGAAACAAGGACCACAAGTTCCATTTGCACCAGCTATTCCCCTTCTTGGTATCTGCCTGGAAGAATTAAAAGCATCACACCACAGTGATACGAACACACCCATCTTTACAGCAGCACAGTTTGTAATAGTTAAATCTTGGAAACAAACTAAATGCCTATCAACTGAGGAATGGATAAAAAAATAAATTTTTTTATATAATGGAGTACTACCCAGCCATAAAGAAGGACAAACTTTAATAAAACACTTTTAACAGGAAGTTGAGAAGAGTCATAAAGCTGTGCTAAGATGGAAAAGGAAGCTAAGAATCAGACCTGGTAATATCTAAAGTTTATTATATGATGGGGTTTGGAATTCCAAAACAGAAAGGAAGACAGGATTCCTAATGAATACCTAACTGATTCTTTCAGAGAAAGATAAACAGGTAATAAGTTTACCTAATACCACCATCACAGTATAACCCACTTGGTTACATTTTAAGGATAATTGAAAATATGTAAGTATAAGTCATGCAAATATGGAATGTGAAATACAGTGAATGTAAAGACCAATGATTATGATTCCTTAGGGCAAAATTCTTCAACAAAACAATTTTTTTTAATGTCATGAAATGAGAAAAATATTTTATTTAAAGAAAGAAAAAAAACCAAAAGAGTAAAAGGGTACAAGTCATACAGAATTTCAAAAAAAAAATAGTAAAAAAATCACTAGTTAATAGATTACATATTATCATATTAGAAATAGTTGTTCAAGTTACAAAATTAAAGCATACAAAGTAGACATTCAAACAGTGAGACTGCAAACAGTTGTGTTCAATGATCCAACAAATACTTAGTAATATGGTCATCTTTCTTACATACCTAAACATGCCTGCAGTTGTATCCTTTAGAGCACTTTCTTTTCCTCTCTTTTTTACAATAACAATTACACATTTTGAGTTTTATTACTCCCACAGTTCTTATTACTTTTTTTTGGAAGAGAATAAAACCAAATGTGACAAAACAAAGCAGAGTTAGTCAAAACAAAGGATGGACATAGTACATGATGTAAAAATAGAATGCAAGGTGATCAACAATGGTTACCATAATGCCTCTTGCTACCTTAAAAAGAATTGCCTATATCATCAGGTATAATTAAATTGAACAAAACAGTACAGAATAAAACCAATAAAACATAAACATTGGAGACATTACAGGACTTCAAAAGAAGATAATAGTCAAATCAGAATGGGCGTCATAGTGAATTTTATTGCCTTCAAAGTAGTTGCTTATACCCTTAAACTTGATACTATCAAACAAAACAGAATAGAGTAAAATCAATCAAAACAAGATGGTGAGAGCAATACAGGGCTTCAAATCAAGTTAATAGGAAATCAAAAACTTACTATAATATATCCTGCTAATTTTTTAAAAATTTTTCCCTTAATTAATAAATAAATAAAAAGGAGGAGATTGAGATAAAAGAGGACATAACAACATAACAACACAGGTCAGAACAGAACAATTTACGCAACATAGTGTTTCACCACAAGATAACCCGACTTAATAGTAGTTACCATAGTGTCTCTTTCCTTGAAATATTTGAGTATAACTTTGTATACTATAGCATCAAACATACCAAGACAGTGTGAAACCATTCAAGAGGATGAAAGTATTACAAGGTATTTAGAACCAGCTAACAGAAAACGAACAATGGTTTCTATATTATCTCTTTGCCTATAAAAGATTTTGTTTCTACTATCACATATAATAAAATCCAATAAGATACAACATGATAAAACCAATGGAGACAGAAGAACAACAGTTTGATAGGACTTCAAAACAAGATGATATAAAATCAGCACTAGCTATTATGATGTCTTGTTTTCCTGAAAATAGCTGTTCATATCATCACGAGAAAAGTATTTTAGGAAAGGCATCAGTAGTTAAAATAGAAATGTTACATTCATGAAAAACTTGATTTCAAGAGTGAAGAAATAATTCGCAACACTGAAAAGCAAATGCCAGGTCAAGTGAACAAGCTCCTCGCTGCAGCTCTGAGGCCACAGGCCCCACTGGTGCAGCCTTCCCACGTGAGCTCTGAGGCAACCGCGTGGAGCCTGCTTACCGGAGCCCTGGTGCACACAGCTTCCCCTCCTGGTTCTTTGCAGTGTGGGAAAACACTGGGGACCTAGGACAGCAAACATGTTTAAAATAATAATTGTCAGTTCACCATCATTGATGGTCTGAGAGACGCAAATTAATATAGCACTGAGATTCCACCTCACTCCAGACAGAATGGCTGTCATCAAGAAATCAACCAATATCAAATGCTGGAGGGGTTGTGGGGAAAAAAGAACACTTTTCCCATTGTTGGTAGCAGTGTAGACTGGTGCAACCACTGCGGAAATCAGTGTGGAGATTCCTCAAAAGACTAGGATTAGCAGTCCCATTCAACCTAGCTATTCCTCTTGTGGGTATCTTCCCAGGAGAATTAAAAACATCATACCACAGTGATATATGTGCACCCATCTCTACAGAAGCAAAGTGTATAATTGCTAAATCTTGGAAACAACCCAAATGCTCATCAACCATGGGATGGATTTTTTTTTTTAAATGTGGTATTTGTATACCATGGAGTACTACTCAGCAATAAAAAGGATAAACTTAAGATTTTATAGGTAAGTGGATATAACTTGAGACCATACTCATACGTGAAATAAATCAGATTCACATGTGTAAACATGGTATTGTCTCCCTGGTATGAGTAGCTGAATGAGGAAACAGGACTGAAAATACACATCAGATGTTATGAACTGGGAAGAAACTGTTCAAAAGAAAAGAGAAACTGTGATGGGATAAAAGGAAAAAAGGAAGAAAGAGTTAAGGAAAAATACCTACATAAATAAATTAAGATAGTTATGCTGCTAGTTTCTCTCAGTTCACTGAAAAGAAAGATTTATGCTAATATTGTTTGTACAATATCTCTATCTTACACTCTAACTACTCTGAAGATAACAATATGAGATGTATTAACTATTGTTACTCTCCTATGACTTCATTTTGAATACTGTTTTCTTCCTTTTTGAAAAAAGTCACTGCTTGATCTAGTTGAGTTCCTTGGACTTTATTGGTTTGTACACTACTTTGAGAAAATTTGGCTGTATTTATCAAAAGTTACTAAGAAATGAGTATACTGACTTGGCAAGTACAGTTTTAAAAATCATCAGGGAAAAATAATCACACCAATAAAAATGTGTTTAAAGATGCTCACCATTCCACTGTATATACAAGGTGTAATGTAAAGATATGTGAATATTTAAATTTTTAAAAAATATTACAGTAAAAGACACATTGCTGTTAATCTTCCTTAAATGTTCCCTTTTCCTCCAAACACCTTGTCCCATCATTACAGCCGATTTCTGAAGTCCTTCTGGAAGTCCTCTTTCTTCAGTGTCTATAGCTGCACTTTCATGGCTGCCCTGATGTCTCAATTGATTCAAAGCGTTTACCTTTCATCAGTCCTTTTTGCTTTGAGTAAGACCAGAAGACAAGGTGGATGAGAACATATCAGAATGTTTTCAAGCCTTCTTTCCACTGCGTAGTACTCACGGCAGCATTCACTGGTCAAAAAAGACACTCATGAAAGAAGACTTCCAGAGCTGCTTCAGAAAGTGGCAAGAAGGGTAAATGTGTCTGACCTGAGGGGAAGTGTCCTGAAGGAATTAATGACAACATCTTTTTCTGTAATAATTTTTATTTAAATGCATACCAGATTGTTCTACCAGCCTTGAATATTTCCAAAACAAAATAGAGGCTATTTTAATGTCTAACAGGACATGAATTAAATAGATTATACACATATAATAGAACTATATGTAACTATCAAACACGGGTAAAGATCAAGCTAGAAAACCATTTTGCAATAAGATCGCCTCTTCCTATGTGTGTGCCTGTGTGTGGGTGTGAACACGTATGTACCCACGCACATTCAGGGGAAAGGGTCAGAAAGCGGGCTCATTCACATGCTGACCATAGCAATCTCTTAAATGGGACACCCAAGAGAAATGCTGCTGTGTTTTCCATCCTTTGTTGTTGCTTTGTCCTGTGCCTCTATTCTTCCTATTTTCTAAAACCATATGTCCTATTTCTTTAAAAAGTAAAAGACCTTTAGAATATCTCTGAAGTTAAAAAGTAAAAACCACACCAAAATCTTACTTTCTATGTTTCCATCTTATATTCCCATAAAATGACTCCATATTGTATGCAGATTCCATTAGGGACAGAAATTATTTTTTTGTCATGTCCAAACTATGCTCATTAAACCCATTATGATTTAACGTTTTGGGTTTTTTTTCCCTCCTACTACTAAGAATTGAACCCAGGAAGCACATAGCTTATTTTCAGCCCTTTTCGTTTTCAAAATTTTCAAATTGGATAGTATTAAGTTGCCAAGGTGGGATTCAGACGTGTGAGCATCCCGCCTAAACCTCCTGAGTAGCCCAGATTACTGATGTAGGCCACAACATGAGTCATTATCCAAGCCAGCTGATGGGCTTCCTCAGGCAGGCTCTTCCAAAGGGACCCCCACTTTCAACACCACCGAAGTCAACCTACGTCCTTACACTGTGGGGTTTTATCTGTAGAAAATTCTGTCATCGCGTCTTTCCCTTGATATTCCATAGTTCTTCACTTTAATACTGTTTACTCTTGATTGCAAAAAATATTTTGCCATATTTTGTAATCACAAACTTCATTAGCACCGTGCAATAATAGAATGAGATGCGTAATAGGAATCCTATGTGTTGAGCATCACTAAAATGCTGCAACTTATTTTAAGATAAATTTTTTAGTTGGGTTTATAAATCATTTACAAAGAAATTGAGCAGAACTAAAATTACAGTCCAACTGTCACATTCCTGTAGAGTGACCACAGTGTGCTCAGGGCTGGCGGCCACAGCAATGAGCCATTACAGAGCCAAAAGCTTTGCCAGACCATCAGGAACAAATATCTTCCACTAGCCAGATATTAGATCAACAACCATTAAATATAATAGGAACCATCTTCCATGGCCAGCATTCAAAAGCTGCAAATACAAACAGTTGCAGATATGTGGCTGGACACACAGGCGCCCCACGGTGAGAGGCCTGAACTGCATACACAGCAGGCTCATTCGGAGACACCCGGCAGGGTGGTTCTAGAGACCTGCCCTTCTTCTCACCCCAGCACAGGCTTCCTGCGCAGTAATCAGACCTGACACAGAAGGCCATCTCTCCAGGAGTCATCACTGAGATCACTGCCGCCAGCCAGCATGGTGCCAGCAGGGGTCTAAAGAGGGACCGAAATCCTCAGTCAACAGTAGGAAGAGGCCTGGACTCTTGAGTCCATGCATCCAGCACTGCAGGCATCCAGGCCACTCTGTCCTGGGACAGGAGGTCAGAGTTCTAGGTCATGCCTTCTCATCCTCCCTCCCTCAAGAGGCAGCCAACTGCTCTGCCCTATAAATTCAGCAAAAGTAATACATCAATCTCCAAAAGGTGGATCCTGAATTTGCCTTGAGTCCTATGTGAAATTCTCTGATTAGAGATATCCATTCCTAAGAAGTCCTCTAGACCTTGCTAGGACACACACATCTGCTTCTGAGACCATCACCGCCTTCCAGCGCTGAGGTCCATGTGCTCGGTCTCCAGCCTGCCTCACGTGGCTGTCGCTCCTACTTATTCTGTTGCCTTTGCCACGTACCCAATTTTGTTTATTTATTTACATGTTTTGTAAATAATGGTAATTTTGTTTATTTATTTACATGTTTATTTTCTGTATGTTTCACTACATTAAATCTCAGAAAAATGAGGCCCCTCCCAATCTTCTTCACTCCAATTTTTCATGGTGTTCAAGAACTGTTGTTCAATGAATGGATTATATTTTGTACTTAAATTATACTTTGTTGTTCAACATTTTGCCATTCTCTGTTGGTTTTCTTGGGCTCCCTCCCTCAAGAGGCAGCCAACTGCTCTGCCCTATAAATTCAGCAAAAGTAATACATCCTGAGTAATACTCCTGAGTTGCTGTTTTGCATTTATGGTTGAGATTTCTGAAGCAATGAAGATTTCTGGATTAAGAATGGCTCCATCCTTCAGTTTTTTCCTCCTTAAGTTCATCCTTGCTGGATTCTTCCCTGACCATCCATTTGAAATAAAAAGCTATTACATTATAATCCCAGGTCAGTCTGCACTGGCTGGGGAGCAGAAATGAAGGTGCCAGGACCAAGTAAGAGGTCAAGTAACCCTAACCACTGATCTGTCAGAAGAAGGCAACACATAAAGCATAATTAAATGTTGTTTCCTAGTAACACCAAATATCTTTTTTTTTTTTTTTTTTTTTTTTTTTTTGCTTCCTTTCTGGCCCAATTCATAGTCAAGAGTTAGAATTAGAAGAAATGACAGGAAAGTACAAGTCCATGTGGCCTACAATTTATGTTCCACAGCAGGACACAATATGAATTATTCATGTGGTTGTCAGGACAGACCACAAGTAACACAGGATGACTGTCAAAAAGATATATCTGTGTGACAGCCATGACCTTGGAGGAGGCAGGACAGGGGACAACATCTCCTTCCATAGTTAGTAAGTAGAATTTTAATAAAAGTGAAAAAATTCGAATTGTTTAAAATCATATGAGTTTCTCTTTTTAATACTTTTACCTCTTTAGAATTTACATTTTCCAGAAGAAAGATCATATAAGTCTGCAAGCAGACTTTTGAAGATAGGTAATGGTATAGAGGGAGAAAAGGAAAAGGCAGAAATGGAATTGAAAACAAATAGAATATGTTATAAGCGTGGATCAATTTCCCCCAATAAACCTCGCTATTCTGCATTACTGATGTACACTAATGAAGTACTGTAAAATTACGTCTTTTGACTTATGCATATTCCACCCTTTTGTGCTCTGGATCCGTATACAAGGTTCCTTTATTTCTTAGTGTTTTCAGTGCCTGAGAAGCAGCACAGGATGGGTGGCCCAGGAAGATGCAGAGCCAGGCCAAAGGCGCTCTCAGCCAGCTCTTTGAGGGGAGAGGGCTGACACCAAACAGTGCCAGGATCAGGGGAAGGCAGAGGCTCCCACAATATCCCACACGTGGTGACAGTTACATCTCCTTGTTTTGGAATGTTTACATTGTCTTGCAGATAAA